CTTTCGAGGTTTAAAGGTCTCAAATTTTTCCAATTGTAGTCAAAGCATTATTACTTCAATTTATTTATACTGAAAAAAGTTCAAAATCAAATAATGATAAAATTAAAAACGATATTTCTAAAGATTGTTTGAAACTTCTCAAAACTTTTGAATTTTCTTATCAATAAAGGTTTGGGTAATGCAAAGCATTTCATTTTTATTATCAAAATTTCAATTTCTCTTTAAATTCCATATTCATCATTTATTCATCATCATCAGAGTAGGGAGTGCACGACTGTACACTAAAGCGATTAAGAATACAGGAATATAAATTCCATCATGTTTCGCTCCTCTTGTTTCATCACTTGAATGATGAGGGTTTCGCTTTCAATAGCGTTCCNCATTAAAGAAATTGAATTCTTGATAATAAAAATGAATTACTTTGCATTACCTAAACTTTTATTGATAAGAAAATTTATTTTGAGAAGTTTCAAACAATCCTTATAAATATTATCTTAAATTTTATCCTTATTTGATTTTGAACTTTGCATCATCATCAGCAGAGTAGGGAGTGCACAGGAATATAAATTCCATCATGTTTCGCTCCTCTTGTTTCATCACTTGAATGATGAGGGTTTCGCTTTCAATAGCGTTCCACAGGATTGCATATTCCTGTCCTGAATACTCTTCATTGTTCAAATTTGACAAATTTTTATTTTTTTCAAATTTGATAAGTATGAAGAGACATTTCAGTTTATTATATCTCAGTGGAATGCTCCACTTGAAATGAAACAAGGGTGAAGTATCTAAACTTCTGAAAACCTCAGTCCAAGTGATCACCACCGAGAATTTAACCAGGATTGTACCGATTCACTCATCCATACACACTCTGATACAAATGCGACACATAGACACTTAGGCCAATATGAAGGAAATTTGTCTACTAAGTATTTTGAATTTTTTTAGTATGTATAAATTGAAGTAATAATGCTGCGACTACAAATGTAAAGGTTTTAGAACTTTAAACCTTAAAAGCGTCAACCATTTCCTTCGATTAATTTTTATTCATTAAAGCTTTTAAAAATTATTATTCGGTTGAAAAATTATTTTAATTAAATCGTGTTGATTTATATGGTGACATGACATTTCATGACATTCATAGTTGCGAAGACTTTCATAGTAACAACCATGAAATTGAAAACTTTGCTGGTTACAATTTTAGTTTTGATCTTCGTCAAATGTTCTGACCAAGCAGTTAAATTTTTGAATTGTGTTATCTTAATTGTAAATTACAATTTCTTTTTTTATTGTTCACAGGATCCCATGAAAATAATTGTTAGCAAAGTGGAAGAAACTCATAACAAGTATATGCTTGACTTCAAACATTCTTTAAGAATTACTCAAAATTTCACAAATTATATAAGCATTAACTTGACATTGCTTGTGAAAATAGACTCGTTGTACTTCCATTATTCGGTTGATCTTCCTAATGCTAGTGGAAAAATGGTTCCTTTTATCAGGAGAAATGGAATGAACTTGTGTACCT